CACCCTTACTTGTTTTTTCTTCCTAGACCTATCAGCCTAACAGTAGCCAAATGCTGGGACCCTACTCCCAGGAGTTACTTCACCATCCCCAGGGGTGAGTACATATTTGTGCTCTTTGCTGGGTTCCTCTGGAGGCCGCAAGGTCTACAATATTTTCAGCTGTTTTGGCATCTAACAGATTTCCGTTTCCTGCAAGTTTGATACTTTTAAGTTTGGTTGTATTGTTTGTTTGCTTTTTGTTTTGGGAGGCAGGGGTTTAAGATACTCTTTCTGAGACTCCAGTGCCCACTGAGTTCATGGGAGTTTTTCTTTTGATTCACATGGCTTTGGATCAAGCTCCTAACCTTTTGGTGGGTATATCCTCGTGTTCTTAACCTTTCAATTGATAGAAAGTTTGAAGGATAACTGTACTTAAGTGTTAAAAAGCCTCATTTTGTCACATGTACACTTCTTAGAAAGAATTTAAACTGAGTATTTTTTAAATTTGAGGCAAACGACATTGTTTAATATACATAAAACCTCTTGAAAATGATCTAGTTTTAAAACTTCTGGCTTAATAAAGCTTTCAGTAGCTATAAAAGATCTGTGCTCATGTGACGAACACAGCTGCCTCCTACTGGTGAGTGCTCTGCTTATGATATTGAAACCAGCTTGTTACCAGTCCTTCTAAGAAGATGAAGATAGCATTGTCCATTGAAATTAATGCAACAGACTTGTGCAGACTGTGGGAGCTCACTCAATGAAATCCTTAGGAAAACCAGCACAATCAAAAGAAAAATCCCACAAACGACATGTTTCAGATTTGCTACAGGGAGAGCTTGTGTATCAGTTTGTCTTTTGTTCAACGAAGATGCATCCATTATTATTCAAGGCAAACAGCGGTATACCTGTTGTAGGCTAAACTGATTGCAATAATGTGTGGGATATTTTGAGGAAATACCTAAGATAGGCAGAGCTCTTTTACGTAATTTCTGGTTTTAAGAATCATCTTTCAGGGCAATGGAACAACAGCTACTGTAATTCAGAAGAAAAAAAGTAATTATGGGGAAAACTGAGTTTTATCCCCAGCTTTAAAAATTACTTGCTACGTGGCTCTTAAAGTCTGAGTGTAATTTTTGGTCTTCTCTGACACCAGACTCTTCAAATGGTCTTTGTGTCTTGTCTGTTTATTTTGCAAGACTATTCCAGACCTAAAAAGTTTCGTTATGGTTGCTGAAAACACTGAGAGGGGAATTCCATGATGCCTCATCTCTGCAAATACAGAACTCTAGAGTTACTGTTTTGATTCATCTTCAGCAGAAGATTCCTCTTCTGTCTGAGTAGTTATTTTGGATCCAAGACCCTTAGAAGTAGGAAGAGATTTTCCCATCAGCTGGGGCAAAGCATTTGGTAGTACTTCACATCATAGCAAAATGAGAAACTCTATCTCACTGTATAGAATAATAGTGAAATACTATTACTGGACTGGTAGCTTCTTTCCCACAAGGGGAAATACTTCACTCTTACCGCAGTTGCAGGAACAGGAGTGTCATGGTTTTATCGTATTAGGCTGGTGCAGCAATTGCCAGAGGAAACCAGCTACTGCTGGCAAGGCGCTTTTTGTTCCCTCGTGCTGGGGCTATCTCAGTCGTACTATCAGAATGGCAAGGACTTGTGCACCCCAAAAAAGTTCCTTCTTACTCTAGGTCTTGGTGTTTACTGCAAATCTGATTCCATTTGACTTTTTTTCCCTTTCTGGTTGTTTTGCAGCTGAACCAGTGAGGCCAATTGACCCTGCAGCATGGATCTCTCATACCACAGCCATGACGGGAGCGTACCCCCGTTACGGTATGAGCCCCTCCATGAGCATCACCACATCTACCAGCTCCTCACTAACAAGCTCAATTCCCGATTCGGAAAGTAAGTCACACTGCGGCCAGCACAGGGCAGGCGTCTTCTGCTCGGGGCCAGCAGTGCAGAGCTGTGCGCAAAACCGACCCCAGCCACAAGCACGATGAAAACGACAGCCACCACAGAACTCTTGAATGCTTTCTTAAATTTGTAATTCTTATGGGGAGCACAAAACATTTTTTCCAAAGGTCAGAAGTTAACGCAGTGGTGTTTTGCAGGGTTCACATTCAGGAAGAGGTGGCTTCTGGTCCCTTTTAAAGTTACAAGGCAGGTCTCCAACTTTATTCCCTCAAATGAATGTGAGAGCTTCTTCCTTGCATTTGACTGTTCTTCAATAAATTTAAATAATTTACTTCAGGTACATGTCACTGGATAATAATGTTAGTGTATCATTTAGGAAACCTTCCACTGATATTCACATAGCCTTCTTTTATACTTTTTTATACTTTTAGAATTTATTGAACAAGCAAAAAACAAGTGTAATGTCCCACGTGAAATTATGGTTAGAGTTCAGCCTTCTTTCCTGGTTTGTCTAGCTGTGGCAGTCTCTAAACTAGTCATATCCATGTAACCAACAAGTTGTCATGATTCCTTATCTTGGAAATTTTTGTTTAAAGAATATAAACTCTTCCTTTCTTTTACTCTTCCTTTGCTTTCTGATGTAAGCATGGGATAAAAGCTAGTGTTTGGTTTGAAATACATGGCAGTAAGGCAAGACAAATAAACGAGGAGCGTGCGTCTCTGAGAATGCTGTCCACTGAAGTCCTAGTTCACATAAGTGTTCATATTTAAAACAGCACTTCTGTTTACTTGACATGAAAGTTTTGAGGTACTTTACACCTTATTAGTATGTGTTTGTTTCCTGTAATATTAATATGGAAGTATTTCTCTAGAGATGCAACCTTTCTATCAGATTTGTTTATCTGTAGCAAGGAGATTTATTGTATTTGTTTATATACACATAGAAATCTTGGAGTGGCTTTAAAATGAAACAATGCTACCTCAGTATGCATTCATTGAAAGCCGGATAAATACTTACATGTTTAACAAGAGATGCTTAAGTGTCTGCCAGATCTGGAGTCTAAATTTAGGACTGAGTAACTTTTTTCATTTTGTAAGATTTTTCCAGAGGGAAAGGGAGGATATAATTTAGAAAACACAACAAAACAAAGTGAACAAGAAAAACAACACTTTGAGCATTTTAAAGACCAATGTGGTGTTGTTGATTAGTGACAGAATCTTCCCTGGGCAAATGCATGGCTGAAGCGTGAAAGTTTCATTTGCAGGGACCAGTTAAGTCCTATCAGACTACGTAAGTGTCTGCTTGTTTTTTTTCTACCCTCTCTCAGATTTTATAAGCACATAGTTCCTGGAATTACACCTCACCTTGAATTGAAAGGGCAGTTACCCTTTTTGTAGGTGTAGGAGCTCAGTGCTTCTTCAGGTAGTAGGCAGCACCACTGAAGGGGAAATACATCTGCAGCAGAAAGCAAGTGAACCACTTACCTGATGACTGCTTTATCTTGAGATGTGTTTTCAGCCTTACAGGTACTAAAGAATGCTGGAATCAAATGTATCTGCTGATTGCTGTCAAACAATGAGAGTCTGTTACTCTGCATTCCTCTTGAAACTATTTATGTATCGTGTGCCTTGATATATAGTGATGTGATTGGGAAGTGTGGAACGCAGATGCCCTCTCAATCATACTTTAAAAATAAAGGTTATTTGGGAGCAGAACCACGTTTCTGGAGACAGCTTCTCATTTCTATGCCAGTGACTTACAATGTTTCCTTCCCTGAATGCCAGAAAACGCGGAGTACCCCTGCCCTTTATTGTGACCTTCTGCTTAATGCTCCTTCCTTCAGTTCAGTCCCGTTCCCCCCCGAACATGGCAGGCAGCACCTCAGGGCCCTAGGTACAAAGAGCACCTGTGGTGTGAACCTCTTTGGCAGGAAGGACAAAGCTGGGGAGGAACGGAGGAGGAGAGAGAGGGGTGAGGAGAGGCTGCGCATTGACATCTCAAAGAGCAAAGAGCTTCATGCAAAATGGAGCTTTCTGACTTTTCATGTTCCAGTGCAAGGTTCTCTGTTTCAGTTCCTCTGAGACTAGAGTTGCTGGTATTTGAAGCAAATACAATATCTGTTCTACAGTATCTGACTGTGAAAGTGGAAGCAGTGAATTAACGGAGTCATCTTAGACAAGTCTGTTTCATGGTTCCTTGTTTTAAGTATTGTGAATGTCTGCTGTTTTACTCTGTTTGTATAGCAAGGCCAGGATAATGTAAATGGACTGAGTAACTGCTTTCCTTCTGACTAGCCTTCCTTTGCTCTCTAGCCTCTGAATCAAAAGTGAAGTTCTGATATCTGAAGCATTTGCACAGCCACCATCACTTTGATGCTAGTGATTAAAGTGGCTGAGATTTTGGGGCCATACAAATCACGACCACACAGTAGGAATTATTCTGTGTTAGCCCTTTATTTTCTCAGATGCATTTCTTCAAAAACAGGACTATGCAAGCCAAGGCAGACTGAGGGCGTACTCTTCGCTGGGTAAAAAACTG